ACCCTGAAACTGCAGAAAGCGAGCCCCCGACACCCCCTGCCAGAGGGCACTTTGGAAGTCTGGGCGTCTGACTCCAAGCTGAGGGCAATGTAGACCGAACAGAAGCTGTGTGAGCGTGCACAGGAGCAATCTGCGCATGCACTGTCTCCAATGACGACCGAAGGCAGATCCGGGCAGGCAACCTAGCAGACACTCCTGCTTAGTCAATATATAAACGCACAGCTGCACGGTGCTGACATCGGAGGGGGATCTAGCTCATCGGTAGAGCGCTCGCTTAGCATCTTCTAACCAAGAATGCGAGAGGTGCAGGGTTCGACTCCCTGGTTCTCCACTTCCCTTTTGCCTCACTCGCTTGTGCAGCTGGAGGCAGCACACCGGGGCTTGATGATACATACTGCCTTTTGCTGCGGCTGTACCTCCATGCAGGTGCACTGGATGAGGAGTACTCACCTAGAACAACCACCTCTCCCCTCCTTCCCTCTCTTGCTTGCGCATCTTGCACACCGAAGCCGCTCTCTCCGCAGCCCAACTCATCGTCAAACAGAAGTCTATGTTCATCATGCATGAATGTCCCTACAGCAATCATGATAGGTGCTATGCCTTGCCCGTCAACTGCAAGCCCTGACGCCTGAGTTGCGCAGCCTGCGCACTCTCGTCGCCTTCCTTGCCCTCGGCAATCGCCCTCCGCTCCGCTCGGTCGCGCTGCAGCTCGGCGACAAATCTGTGAGAGAGAGCAGGCGGTGAGTCAGTGACCGCCGGGGGAGGGAGGCAGGCAGAGGGAACAGGAGGTACTCGGTACCCTGAAAGTGCGAGAGAAGCGAGAACGAGCAAAGGGGACGAGTCAGCCAGCAAAACGAGACGAAAAGTGACGAAGCGGCGCACCCAGTGACTCGCGGTGTACTGCGAGACGTAGCGGTACAACTTGCGGTGGTTCTCCTCCCTCTCGTCGGCCGGCATCGTCAGCGCCTGGTGGATCGCCTCGCCCGTCTCGGCCGTGTTCCACGGGTTGACGATCAGCGAGCCGTTGAGCGAGTGCGCTAGAGAAGCGAGGCGGTCAGATGAGCGGAGGGAGCGAGAGAAGGGAAGGACGTACCTGCTCCCGCAAACTCGGACAAGATGAGAACGCCGTGATTGTCCCGCTGGCAGGCGATGTACTCGTAGGCGACCTGAGCAACAAACCAGATGTCAGCACAAAGGCGACAGACGGACGAGGGGAACAAAGCACGCACAAGGTTCATGCCGTCGCGAGTTGAGGTGATCAAGCAAGCGTCCGAAACGGTGTAGAGGGCCGTGAGTTCGGTGAAGGGTACCGAGCGGTGCATGAAGTGGATAGGCATCCAGTCGACGGTTCCGAATCGGCCGTTGATGCGACCGACAAGCTCATTGACGGACGCGCGGAGGTTCTGGTACTCCTCGACGTCCTGCCTCGAAGGAACGGCGACCTGGACAAGGACGACCTTTCCGATCCACTCGGGGTGCTCCTCGAGGAAGACCTCCATGGCGTGGAGCTTCTGCGGGACACCCTTGATGTAGTCGAGACGGTCGACACCGACGATGAGCTTGACGCCCTCGAAGCGACGGCGGAGGGTCGAGATGCGCTGCTGAACTTCCTCCTTCTCGAGGGACTCGTCGAACTGGCTCGGCTCGATACCGATCGGGAACGTGCCGACCGAGGCGTGGCGGCCGACGAGCTCGATGCGGTTCGGGGTGCACTTGAGGCCGAGAAGGCGCGAGCACGACGAGATGAAGTGGCGGGCGTAGTCGTAGGTGTGGAAGCCGATGAGGTCGCAGTTGAGGATACCGAGGAGGATCTCGCGGCGGACGGGGAGGGTGCTGCGGAGCAGAGAAGGTCAGCTCGCTTCCCCTTGACAGCTCAGCGTCGCCCGACTCACCGGAAGACCTCAGAGCTAGGGAAGGGAGTGTGGAGGAAGTAGCCAATCTGGACGTCTCCAACGTAGTTGGTGCCGTGCGTGCCGTTGATGCCGGCGGGGTTGTTTGAGCCGGGCTTGCTCGCAGCCTGGGGACCGAGGGTCAAGCCCTCGAACATGGCGTTGACGTCGCGCTGGCCGTGCTCGCCCATCGAGGCCGGGTCTCGGCCGAGGAGGTCGCGAAGGAAGACGGGGACGAGGCAGAGGTGGTAGTCTGCGGCGAGTCGTCGTTAGACGACAATCTACGAGCTCGCACGAAACGCTCGAGACGGACCTTGCACCCAGACGATGTCGCCCGAGTTGACCTCCTTCTGAACGGCCTCTGCGAAGAGCAAGTTGGCCTGACGGTACGCGAGCCAGTCGGTCTCGTCGAACTGGATCTCTCCCGGGTGGTCTGCTCGCGTCAAATGTCAGTAGCGTCACGCAAGGAAACGCGAGGACGGGACGCACAGTGGAAGAAGGGCCAGAGGATGCTGTTCGAGAAGCCGTTGTAGAAGCGCTCTGCGACCTCGGCGGAGAGGTAGACGGGGATGCAGGAGAAGTCGGTCTGGAGCTTCTTGGTGATGAACTCGCGGTCAATCTCGGGGACGTCGAAGCCTGTGCACGTCCAGCGTCAGAAGAAAGTCAAAGGTGGGACGGTCGAAAGAGCGCGCACCAGGCCAGCCGATCCACTGCGAGGGCGAGGAACGGGTCAGTCTCGTCTCGAGTGCGAGTCCCCTGCGGTACGCACGACAAAGTCCATCTTCTTCTTTGCACCTGCGAGCGCACTGGCGAGTCCACCGCTCGAGACAGAGAAGCGGTACCCTCCCGGCGCATCCTTGTCTGCGGTGATGGTTACGGGGAGGCGGTTCGCGACGACGATGAGCTGTCCGGAGGCAGAGAGGCGGGACTGGTGGATCTCTGACGAGGTTGAGCGCTGGCGTGCGAGCCTGGTTGCGCTGGTCGAGTCGTTGTCTGCCATGGCGAGTCGAGCGGGAGTCGGGTGTGCAGCGGTGCGGTTCAGGTGCAAGTGCAAGCTGGTCGGCGCCTTGTCTCGAGTGCGAGCGAGTGTGAGCGTGTGCTGGCGTTGGAACGTGCGCGAGAGAGAGAGCGCGAGGAAGCGAACCGAGGCGAACCCGCGTCATCCAAGTCTGCGGAAGTGAAGCCGCAACGAGCTCGCTCACAACGGCGCAGAGTAAGGGGAGAATACTAGTGGGATACTGTGATAGAATAGAAAGCTTATTGCAACCACCAGGGAAATTCCACCGCGAGCAGAGAGTCGACCGCTCAGCAGGAGAGACGCGCCTCACTCGCTCGCTTGCTCGTACCACACACGCTGCCCGGGAGGAATGTCGTCTGGGCTGCAGGAGCGCGACAACGGTCAGCACAACACCCGCCCTCAGCCTCGAATCCACGCAGAGCTGACCCCTCCTCACCGCACACCCCCACCCGCGAAACAGGCGTCTCGTTCATCCTCCTCATCTCGAGGCAGGGCAAGGTCCGCCTCGCGAAATGGTACACCACCATGCCACCCCGGAACAAGGGTGCGCGACCAATCTCAGCACACGAGAGAGACGGAGCGCCTCGTGCTGACCTCTCGCTCGCTCGCAGCCAAGGTCGTCAAGGACGTGACGCAGCTGGTCCTGGCGCGGCGGACACGAATGTGCAACTTCCTCGAATACAAGGGTGAGCCGCCGTTGCTCTCCTCCTTCAACACTCCTCCCAGCTGACCATCCTCGCCCTCGGGACAAAGACTCGAAGATCGTCTACCGCCGATACGCCAGCCTCTTCTTCGTCTGCGGCATCGGACCTCAAGATAACGAGCTCATCACCCTCGAGGTCATCCACCGGTGCGCTCCCGTCTCGTAAGCTCTCTTTGGGCGACCCGCTGACCCGCTCGTCCACGCCCGCAGATACGTCGAAGTCCTCGACCGGTATTTCGGCAACGTTTGCGAGCTCGACCTGTGCGTGCGGAGAGCTCGAGGGGGACAGCGAGGCACCAGCTAACTCGCTTGTGTCCCGAACAGCATCTTCAACTACCAGAAGGCCTACTCTGTGCGTCTGGCTCTCCGCGGGGGACTGTGTTGAACCGTGCTGACATCTACTTGACGCGGCAGATACTCGACGAGCTCATCATCGCGGGCGAGATGCAAGAGTCGAGCAAGAAGTCGGTTCTCAAGGCCGTGAGTCGCGGCGCTTCCCATCCCTTTCAAGCGGCACTCCGTCCGCCAATCCAGCGTCACGGAGCAGTAAGCTGAACAGGTCTTACGTCGAACAGGTCGGACAGGCGGACCAGATCGAGGAGCAGGAGCTGTCGGAGGACCCGCTCGGTCGCCTCGGCCAGCGATGACTGGTCAGCATCCCACGTCGTCTTCATCGCTCAACGCCTTACACGTTTTCCTATACCCGCGCTCCTCCGGCGTTTGTGAGCGCGTCCGTTTGTAGTGTACGGTATTGCATGTCGTCCTCTCTGCCTCTCACGCAGCGACCCAGACTCATCGAGAGACGCGAAGGGCAGCAAAGCATTAGATGATAGCAGCATATCAAAGAAAGGACGCTCTACGCGAGCTAGGTATATATCAGGTCACACTCTCGTCCTTCTCCCGCTCTACCGCTTCTTCTTCGACTCGGGCTTGACCGCCTGGACCTGCTGTTCCTCCTCCTCGTCCTCGCCTTCCTCGCGCACGTCCGCCGCCTTCTGCCCGCTAATCATGCGGAAGAGGATGCGCCAGATGAGGTACGACCAAAAGGTGTTGACGAGTTGGAGGGCGAGGATGGGCGCAAAGATCTGATACCTGTCATCACGCGCCGGTCGTCAGCACGCTCACGAGGTTGAAGAAGTTGTGGAGCGTGACGCACTTCATCCAAGCGGGGATCGCGCCGCTGCCGAAGCCGTAGAAGACCCACCACCCCTTCGGCGAAGTCCAGCTGCGCCATTGCTCGGGAATGAGGTCGTACTCGTTCCAGACGGACCAGAGGATGCGGAGGTTGAGATAGTGACGCATGTAGCTGCGAGAGACGGCGCTGGATTAGCTCGTGTGTGCGGGAAGACGAGAGGGAGGGACGCACTGCCACACGACGAGGAAGAAGACGAAGCTGACTTCCGACGTGCGCTGGAGGTCAAGGTAGTTGAGGCACTTCGACACCTGTGAGCGCGTGAGAAAGCTGGGTGAGCTGCTGGCAGATTTGGACAAGCGCGACCCTGCGCCTCACCGCAAGGCAGATGTCCGGCAAGTCCATCGAGACAAAGATAGCCGTGCCGATCATCGTCAGGTTGATCATGTCTGCGTGAACGCGCTGGTCAGCTCATTCAACACGGAAGAACCGACGAGGCGGACTTACAACTCCATCCGACGAGCCAAAGAGTGACGATGTGGTGAATGACAAGCTCCATGAAATCGGAGCGCGGCTTCTCGAGACTGAAGGAGGCGGATGGAACGTCAGGCTGAAGACGCCATCTAGAGGAGGTAAAGCGACGAACCCGAGGACGAGAACGATCATTTGCTGGAGCCAGTAGGAGCTGAGAGGGGCGGGAAAGTCAGCAAGGGCCTGAAGCAAGGAGAAGGCACGCTCGACGCACAATTGAAGAAGGTAGTAGCTCTTGAGAGCGCCGTCCATGCGCCTGTGAATGCGAGAAAGGGGTCAGATGCGCTCATTCCGGTCCATCAATGCAGCAAACGCACCAGTGAGGGTATTCGAGCCAGAAGTGCTCGGTGTGGTACCACCAGGACTCCTGCCTCTGCATGACATACTGCGAAAGCAAGCAGGGTCAGCGGGAGGGACGAGTCGAAGAGGAGACTCTGCACGCACAAGGCCGTACGCTCCCGAAGCCGAAAAGTACACGACGGCGTACGCCTGCTCCATGAACCGCGTGATCTTGCCTTCCGTCTTCAGCCCGAGACGCATGGCGAAAGGGCGGATGAAGAACTCGGTGACGGACTGGCGGAGGAACGAAAAGACGACGATGTAGAACGTCAGGAAGGCGAGGTCCCAGGGCCCCTTGCCGTACCGCTGTCCCTCATCGCCAGGCTCTCGTGCGAGGGGGTACGAGATGAAGAGGAAGGGAGTGAGGGGGTTCTGGCGAGCTGGCGCGAAGCGCTCGATGGCCGCCCAGATGGCGACAACGACAGCGACGAGCTGTCCGGTCTTCTTTGGCTTGACGAACCACGCGAGCGGGCCCGTCGGCTGCGTCCACGCAGGCTTGTTGGTGGTCGCGCCGGGCGGGGAAGTCGGCTCGAGCTGCTTGAGCGCCTCCTTGACGCTGTTGCTGCGCTTGCGACCTGCCATCGTACCGAGCACGCAGACCTAGCAGTGGAGACGAGCGGGAAGAGGGAGAGGAGGAGTCGGAACAACTCCATCAACTCCGCGTTCAGGCGTTCAGGCCTGCCGTCTCGGGGTCCGCAGCGATGCCCGAGAGCAAGAAAATCTATTGCACAGATGCTCGCTAATCCCTGCCGAACCCGCTGGCGAAAGACTGCGTCGGAGTCTTGGGTGCGGGAGACGGAACGAAGCCGGGCAAAGGAGTCTTGGGCGGTCCTGCGAGGAAGTGGCTGACGAGGTGGTCGGCCGTACGGAAGCCAAAGTCGGAGCAGACGAGAATGCCGCCGACGATGCCTGCCAGGCGGATAAGAAACTGGAGAAACGTCGTCGTGCGCTCGCGAACCGTGAGCGACATGGGCTCGATGTCGTATTTGAAGAAGATGCCTGTACGACGAGACGACCTCGTCAGCATCAACTCAAGGACACATGCTCGGCTGGACGCACCGGGAACGCCGCGCCCATGCTGTGTCTCGCGGCCCATCTCCGTGACCGAGTACTGGTGAGTGTGCAGGCGTCTTCGGCTGGCATCGATGTAGGTGGTCGAGACGACGCTCAGGAAGTATTGAAAGATGTGGAAAGCTGCGTGGTGAAGGGGTGAGCGTCTTTCACGTTGCAAGTCGACGATCGCAACGCACGAACAGAGGTGATCTCGCTGGGGACGGAAACAACGGTCAGCGTTCGCTTCTCTGCGTCGAATCGCATAGGACGTACACCGAGTTGTCGAGCGGCTGAACGATACGAGGGAAGTAGGGGCCGAACGAGAACTCGTGGATGACATGGCTGAGATTCATGACTGCGGGAGAAGTCAGCATCTGCGCTCGCCATATCGTTTCGAGCAACTCACGAGCATGGTCGGTGTGCTCCCAGCTGAGATAGCCGTGACCGAGTGTAGTCTGCGGAGGGAGGTGTGAGCAAGCGGTTGGAGACGATGAAGGGAGCATGCGCACGATGTGCAGGTTGCCTGTCACCTTCTTGACCTCCATTGAGCCGTAGATCTGAGACACGAGTCAGCTAAGCGGCCTACAGACAGGCAGACATGGACGCACCCTGCACGCCGGCCCATTCTCGACCAAATTCCGCGTCCGGGCGAAAATCCGCCTTCCTCGCGCATCCCTGACCATCTTCGATGCACTCGCCTCCTTCGCCGCACGCTGGCTCTCAAGATGCTGAGCTTGTCCGATATCGAAGGTGGTCTGCGCGAGAATAGGTGAGCGAGGGCGATCTGGTGAGACCGACGCAGAAAGTGAGCGCACGCCATCCTTCCTGAACTCGTCGCTGATATGCAGCCTGTCTCCGACGGCGTCTCGTACGTCGACGGTCAGGTCTGAGAAAGCCGAAAGAAGGGGTAAGCACGGGTCGAAGGAGGAGAGAGTGAGCGAGCGGAACGCACAGTGACAAGGTGTCGCGACCGTCGCGTCAAAGTTGAGCTGAAGCTCGTGAGCAATCCCCCGGTCCACACTGAACTTGTACTCCGCCTCGCCCCACAGGTACTCGCGCGTCTCGTGCCAGACGAGGACCGCAACGACGAGGCCGACGAGGACCGTGAAGATGCCCCCGCGCGTCGTCTTCTCGCGGTACGTAGGGTTTGTCTGCGATACGTGAGATGGTCAGCGCGGTCGTCGGCGGTCGGAGTTGCGAGCAGACGAGCCTTCTTGAACGCATCGAACGCATTGAGTGGGGGCGGTTTGGCAAGGACGGACGCGAAGTAGCTGGGCGGGTTCTCGTCACCAACCTGCATAGTGAACGAGCCGCAGCTTCGTGAAGGGGAGCAGTCCGGGCGAGAGTTGCGAGCAGCGAGCAGAGGGAGGAGATTGAAGTTGATGAAGCAAGAGTCGGAGGACGGAAACTGCTTTTCGGTCGTTCTGCAGCGAAGAAGACTGCTTGAGAGCATGCACCGAGTTTGTATTGCTCACAGACGCGAAACCGATGATGGGGGAGAGTGACAACATGCTGGAACGACGGAAACCCTAGACAGCTGCGAGCAGAGGACAAGGGACGGGTAGGGGAAGGCCACCCGCTTAATATACTGTCGTGCTTGATGCGTTGGAGGCGAGAACGATGACCGGAGATGAGTCGCGGCGCCAAAGGGAGGACAAAGGTCAACACCGGACCCGCGAAGCGTGTATATTCGCGGCGTCGGCAGAAATGGGGGAAAATGCAGGGCAGGCGAGAGTAATGTCGATTCGAGTCGGTTGTAATGCGGAATTGGCTGTAAATGATAGGGGAAGGGACAGGAAGCGGAGGTCGGAGCCGCTTAGGCTTGTGCGGCCAGGTCGGGCTGGGGCATCTCGGTGAGCCAGCCGCCGCGCTCCCACTGGCCCGGACGGTAGATCTCGGGGTGTCGCGCATTGTTGTCGATTGCGCCGCGCATGAGAGTGCGAAGACGCTTGAAGTCGATCGGCTTGAGGAGCCAACCGTTCAGCTCGGCGTCGACGATGGTCGGCCGCTCGCGCTCGGGCAACGAGGCGCTGACGGCGAGAATGGGGATGCCGTCGTTCAGGCGGGTCGACAGGCGACGCTGGTCTTCGGGCAGGGGAGATTCGCGTTCGATCCGCCGGATGTTCTTGCTCGCATCGACGCCGTTCATAATCGGCCTGAGAGAAGGAGGTCAGCATTGATCCGCTGTACGAGCAAACGCGTGCACGCACATCTGGAGGTCCATCAAGACGATGTCGAAGTTGCGGTCCTCCTCGAACTTGCGGACCGCTGCGCCACCGTGTTCTGCGACGATGACTTCGTGGCCGTCCTTCTTGAGGCGTTGCGAAATGATCATGCGGTTGACCATCTGTGGAGCGAGAGGGCGAGTCAGCGGAGAAAGAGCACAGGCTAGGCTAGCGGTGAGACTCACCTCGTCCTCGACGACGAGAACGCGCATCGGCTCGATCGTGTCGACAGGTGGCGCGGCAGACGACTTGCGATATTCGCTGACGTGCGTCGGAGAAGCTGTACCGGCCTTTGCATCCGGCTCTGGCGACTTGGCTCGGGGCGTGTTGTCCGCAGCCGTCGAATTGGCGTTCGCTTCGGATGTCACGGAAAGGATCGATTGGCGTCGTTCACGCTCGGCAGGAGGAGACGCGACCGGAGGCGCCGATCCAAGGCTGAGAGGCGACTTGCCTGGGCTGGCGGGCGAGTTGAAGATGGCATTGAGAGGGTTTTGCGTTTTGGCGAGCGTCGGCGACGAGAGCGGCGAGGACGTTGGTTCGCCGCCGCCTCGTGATGGTCCAACTCGAGCGGCGCGCAGCGGTATTGCACCGCCCGAGATGCCGACAGAGCCGCGCGAGCTGGCCTCCGACAGTGGAACCTCCTGCCGCATGGTGCCCCGTGCCGAACGGAACGACTGGTTCGACCGAATCGATTGAGTCGAGCGCGAGCCAGCGGAGCGGGGCTGATTCGTGTCCATGTGCGACTGGCTCATCGCGTTGATGAGCGAGTCGATTTCGGACCGGCCGGACGACGTCTTCGAGGCGCGCGACCCGGCAGAGCCGTTGCTGTTGCGACGGGCGAGCGGGTCGCGGCGCGCTTCGGGCTTGACCTCGCGCTGAAGGGACTGCTGGATCGACTGCGCGATGGCGTGCGCCGTGGCCGCGTCTTGCGGTGGGAGGCGGAAGGGGAAGATGAAGGTGAACTTCGAGCCCTTGCCAACCTTGCTCTCCACCTGTAGTTGGCCGTCGAGGTTGCGCACGATGCGTGCGACGACTGCGAGTCCAAGGCCGACCGCCTGCTCCGACTCGGCCATCTCGTCGCGCTCCTTGTCGCCGATGGTCGCGACGTTCTCGAACTGGCGGAAGATGTTCTCGAGCTTCTGCTCCGTGATGCCGACGCCCGTGTCCGTGATCGAGATGCCGATCTTGATGGCGTCCTGTTTCGGCTGCGAAGCGTCCTCGACCGACAAGACTTCGCCCCATTCGACAAGGATGCCGCCCTCCTTCGTATGCTTGAGGGCGTTCCCGACGACGTTTGTGACGATCTGACGGATCTTGGCACGGTCTCCGAGGAGGGTCGACGGTGTTCCCGTCGGAGTCTCGACAATCTCGAGCGACAGGCCGCGCCTCGCCGCCTCATCGCGGTGAATCGCTATCGACTCTTCGAGGGTCTCGGCGAGGTTGAAGGGATCGGTGAGGTAGAGCTCGTTGCCCTTCTCGGTGCGGGTCAAGTCGAGCAAGTCGTTGATGACGTGGATGAGCGACTTGGAGGCGGCGTGACTGCGCACGAGGTTCTCGCGAACCTCACCAGGGATGGGACCGTCGAGAGCGAGCTCGAGGTAGCTGCACGTCGGGTGTCAGCGTGCAGTCAGGAGGATAAGTAAAGGCGAACCAGACGTACTTGATGATGGCGTTCAACGGCGTTCGAACTGCGGAGGTAACGGTGTCAGTTTCAGCTAAGCGACCAAGGCGAGTCAGCGGACGCACCCTCGTGACTGGCGTTCTGGAGGAGCAGGTTGGTGAGCTGGCTGGCAGCCAGCGCGCTCTCCTTCTCTCGCCAAACGGCGATGAATTTGCCTGTAGCACGCTGAACGTCAGTGGGATAGCCCATCGAAGAATGCCATGAAAGCGGATGCACCGTAGACCAAGCAAAGAACGCTCGCCGTCTCCTTCTCCTCGTCTGTCCACGCTCGACTCTTGCCAACGACCGTCTCTGACCAGATTCTGAACGACTTGCGTGGCTCGAGCGCCTGGTACTGCTCGCCATCCTCGGAAACCTTCTTGTTGGCGTAGGGGTTTCCGGCCCAATGGATCTCTTGTAGCTGGCCCTTCCGGCAGAAGACGATAAAGTCGTTGCCGCCGGCCGAGAGACTTTAGGCGCGAGACGTCAGCAAGACCGTAGCGACAGCGGCGTGAAAGCGCGACATACGGAACCAAGAGCAACCCGGCGATGAGCTTGAAGCCGTTCGGATAGTCAATGTCGGGGAAGTCTGCGACGATGTCCTGCGACGTCTTGAGCGTCTCGAAGCGCTTGACGCGGAGGTACTCAAGGAGAGCGAGGAGTTCCTGCGAGTTGCTGACCGGACCCAGGATCTGCTTCGATGGGGCAAGTTAGACGGGGATATCGACAGGGCGCAATGAGTGGCACGCGAGACGGACCTTTGCCTCGTCTCCGATGCTCAGAACGCCAAAGTCGGCGTGGAAGAGGTCGAGCAAGTCCTCCGCCTTGGCGACGATGTAGCCGCTCGGGTTCTGGTCCGACGTCGCCGTGTTGATGAGCTTGCGCGCCTGGAGCCTCGACGCGTAAGAGATTCTTTCGATGTTGCGCGAGATCGACTGGCCGAGGAGTTTGCAGAGCTGGCGGACGGGGAACGAGACGCGGTGTCCGTAGCGGCCGTACGTGTGGAGAGCGATGAGTCCCCAGAGGTCGCCGAAGGCGGTGATCGAGATCGACATGGACGAGCGGACGCCCATGTTGCCGAGGTACTTGATGTGGATCGGGCTCATGGCGCGCAGGTGGCAGTGCGTCATGTCGAGCGGGAGGGCGACCTCCTCCATGGACCGGCAGCAGAGACGGGCCGTAGGCTGGTCGCGGTCGTACAGGACGCGGACCTTGTTGATGCGGTAGAGCTCGCGAGCCTGCGCGGGGATGTCGGAGGCGGGGAAGTTGAGGCCGCGGAAGAGGTCGCGCGTGCGGGACCAGTCGACCTGCTCCGCGACGACTCGACCGTTCCACATCTCGTCGAACTGGTAGATCATGACGCGGTCGAACTCGGTCAACTCCTTGAAGACGCCGACCGTGACCTTGAGGAACGTCTCGAGATCGTCCGCTTTGCCGAGCTGGTCGTTGATTTGGCTCAGCAAGCCGACGACATCCATCTCCTCGAGACCCTGGCGCGACCGTTTCCGCCGCCGCAAGCGGGTCGAGCGATGCCGCGCGAGGATGCGCAGCGGTTTCGCGATCGAGACGGTACTCTCAATCAAGTCGGCCTCGGTCGGGTTGATGCCGTTCTCGCCGTACTCTTCGGGCTTGCCCATCCCGCCGCGCTCGTCAGGCGTGAAGGGTTCGCTCGAGACGGTCGAAAGCGGGTTGACCTGGTCTTCAACGAGCTCGAGCTCGAGGATGATCCGCTTCGGCTGGAGTGTCCGGTTCGGGCGATGAATGGCGGCGTGGCAGACCCACTCGAAGCGCTCGCGACTTTGCGCATCACGGTCGCCCGAGCCAGGGATGCCCTCGCCGGCGAGGGTGAAAGTGTACGGGCCGACCTCCTCGTTCGACTCGTCGAGGTCCCGCTCGTCGAGTGCGTCGATGGCGTCGCGGAGGGCGTCGGCTTCGTCCTCATCGAGCAGCTCGGAGAGGCATTTCGCTCGGAACAGGACGCGCGGAGGGAGGCCAATGACGAAGCCCGAGTTTTCGGAGACCTGCTGGACCTTCATGCGCTCGTCTTCTTCGAGATCGAAAGCGATAAGGACGCCAAACGCCTGAACGGCTCCGGGTGCGTGTATAGGCTGCAGAGAAAGAGTCAGTTCCGAGTCGCACGGTATCGACGCGCACGCTTCGAGACGCACGCCCGCATTGCACGAGTGAAGAGAAGTGAGAGCACACGTACCTCGTCCTCACACCGCTCAAGCTGGCCTTCCCGCCCTGTCAAGACCAAGATCTGCCCGTCATCCGTAACCTGGTGCTCGAATCGCGAGGTCATGAGCATCGGCTTGTCGCTTCCGCCGGTATAGCTGCTCCCGCCCTCGTCCCTCGGCGCAGACGTCTGCAACCGCCCTCCTCGGCCGTCATTCGTCTCGTCGCCAAAGTCCCGCTGCTGGACGTTCGACTCGGTCTCGGCGTTGTGCACCTCGTCCTCGCCGTCGTCCTCGTCGTCGGAATCAGGGTCGCCGATCTTGGCGTGCGTCGTGGGTGCAGAGAGGTAAGGGTCGAGAGAGGGAGGTTTGACGTCGGACGCCGCGGGCGACTCGATGCTGCTCGCGGCGCCTTCAGTCCGCGAACTCGTTCGTCTCAGCGTCTCTGGCCGCCCGTTCTCGCCTGAAGATCCGCGGCTCGAACTGCGCTCGAGGAGGCCAAGCTGCTCGGCGGCATCTGCGAGGCTGCCCTCGCTCAGCGCAGCGCCCGGCTGCGACCCGCCGCCGTCTTCAGGAGGTGCAGGGAAGCCCTCTTCAAGTAGGACAGCCTCTGCTGAGCCGGGTGGAGGCGCTCCAGGACCCTGCAAGCCCGCCATTCGCTTCGCGCCCGTGTAGCTGCGCGCGGAGGCGGCCGTCCCAGCGCTCGTGGCGGGCGAAGTCACGTTCGGCGTCGGGTAGACGACGCTGCGCATGGGAAAGTAGCGCGCCGAGCTTCCGCCGAGGTCGGGCGCGATGCGGCTGCCAGACGACTCTGCCGACGAGACGGAGTGTCGACCTGAGGGCGAGGTGACATCGGGCGAAGGAAAGCCGCGCTCGCCCAGGTGGTGTCGTGGCGGCAGCGAGATGTACGACGGCCTCGACATGCCTGCAAACGAAGGTCGCGATGGAGCCTGCGGCGACTGTGCGGGACTCGAGGCGGGATGCGACGAGGAGCCCTGGCCTGAGGATACCGACGCGCGGGAGAAGGGAAAGGTCCTCGAGTGTGCGGGAGCATCTGCACCGTCGTCTCCACTGGCCGCACTCGGTGGCGCAGGAGGTTTGCCGGCGCTGAGGTCGGACGAGGAGACGGCTGGCGACGAAGGGCTCGGCGGCTGGGGCGAGTCGTTCGCCATGCCGGCTGGGCGAATCGGCTGGCGTAGTTCACAGATACGCTGCGTCTGCCTGCGCTGCAGCCTCCGTCGGGGCGTTCAGATCGAGGAAGCTCGGAGGCGGGCGAAGACGAGGCGCTCGCGGGGCGAGGTCGAGGGAGCTGGGTGTGCGAGTGCGACGGCGGCTTCGCAGGAGTAGCTGGCTGTGTTAGCAGCGCGTGCAGGCTGACAAAGGCTGGCTGGCGTGTTCTCTGGCGTGCACGACGGGCGATGCGGCGAGTTAATGAAACTCGTCGACCGTCCCGATGCAATGCACCGATGCGCCTCGCTCTCGCTCTCTCGTCTTCCCTGGGCGACTCTTGCTCGCCGTACACCATCCTACTGCATGCTCGCACCGGCGCAACCCCTGCCGAAACTCCCCGGGACGCTCCCTACCCTCACCCATCCATCTCGTCGTCCCTTCCGCGAACAACGATCTCGAACGCCTCTCCACTTGACCGATTGCAAGGACGTGCAGCCCGCGGATGGCGTGCCCAACAGGCGTCGGCATTGAGTTCGGGCGAGATTGTGCGGCGGGGCAGGCTGGCAGGGTCCCATGCAGATCCTGCCCTCCAAGTCGTCCTGGCCCTCGCTTCCGTTATCACGACGTCCGAGGGGCTCTCACTGCTTCTACGGTGCTTACTGGACCGTGACTTGACTATCGACCGCAACGACCCAGCTTGCCGGCGCGTCCGAACCATCAAACTCGACCTCCTCGCCCTCCACCGAAGAAGCTTCCTTCGCCTCACACCGCTCAGCTTCGACCTTTCCCGCTCTACCCGGACATCAAAAGACCTGCCAGGACGCTGGCAGGACGGCGCCAGCCCTCCAGACGAGTATTGCCGCACGATGCAGCCGACGGAGGGACTTGAGTCGTTCTGCGCTTCTTTTCCTCGTCGCTCGCACCTCACCCTCGCCTGGCCTAACGACTCTCGCTCAACATTCACATCGGCGCTCACGCACGCACAACTGATCCAGCGCCAGGCTGACTCGCTCGCTCGCTCGCCCACCTCTGGAACCAGGACTCGTTTTTCTCCCTGCGTTGATTATTCGCTCTGCGCGCCGCTTCAAACTGCTCCGGGCTTGTAGACGAGCGCGCCCGGCTACGTCGTGAAGTCCTGCTTGCGGGACCTGCTCGTCTGCCTGCTCACCCCCCCTCTCGCCTCTCCTCGCGCTCTCCTACACTACCCTCAACCACCTCGCAGCATTCTATTCACAGCGCAGCACCTTCGAGGGTTAACAAGCAAGAGTCCTTTGCACAGACGCCGCGATCGGCAAATTAGGCGAGAGAGTTGACGGGAGATGCTACTACTGTACGGGTTTGAACAGATGCTTAGGAGAGAGTGTTCGAGGTAGGATAAGTCGAGGGAGCGAGCGAGCGTGTATCAGTCGGAGAGGGAAGAGAGGGTCCGTTTCGTAGAGTCGAGTCGAGTCGAGTCGAGTCGAGAGTCGAGCGCCGCGTTCACGCCTTGTTCTTCTCCTCCTCGCCAGCACCACCAAGCTGTTCAACAAAGTGTCCGACAGCAGTGGGCTTCTCCTCCCCAGCCGTGGACTGCTGATGCTCATCCGCCGTCTCAGCCGCGTCGTCGTCCTCCGTCTCGTCCTCGTCCGTCTCTTCCTCCTCATCGTCGCCGTCATGGTGCGACGCCCCACCCGCTGCCGCGCCGCTCGTGCCGGAGGGACCCGCACCACCCGCACCCCCAACCGGTCCCTTCTTCTCCACCGCATACCCGTCGTGTCCAACCTGGATTCCCGAGCCCTCCGCAGGCGCCGAATACGCCGGCGCTCCCTCATTGTGTCCGTTCCCGCCCACAGCGGCAGCGGGGCCAAGCTGCGGCGCGCCGGTCGAGCCAGGCGCGACGTTTGCTCCCTGCTGTTGCTGAGCGTACGAGTGCGACGCATGGTGACGGTGTTCGTCGTCCTCCTCCTCCTCCTCGTCCTCATACTCGGATTCTTCGACAGACGACCCACCCTCCGAGTCTTCGAGCTCGTCTTCGTCTTCTTCGACGTAGCCTGCCGAACGGACGGCGGCGGGGACGGGGCCGGAACGGTCGAATGGCTCGGAGGCGGTGACTGTGCGAGCGACGAGCGAGAAGAGCGTCAGTTACGAACGAGGGAGGGAGAGGGGGGGACGCACGGTAGACCTTGGAGAGCTGCTTGCAGTCGTTCCACCACTCGAGCATCTCATCGTGGCTCCTCGCGCGGAACGTAAAGCTCGCGTCGAGAGCAAACAATCCCGACTTGTGGCCGACGTCTCCCCCGATACTCTTCTTTCCCTCGATGTGGAACTTGTGGCTGCGTGCGTGCGGGTTGGTCGGTGCGCCGAGCGTGCACTCGGGGAGGAAGAGGGAGAGTTCCGGCATCGGGTGCTTCGAGAGGTCGGACGAGGGGTACTCGTGGAGGTAACCAGCGGGGGTGAGGATATAGAACGACTCCTTGTACGTCTTGGTGTAGCGCTTCTTGCGCTCGAGGATACCCTGGTGGACGGGGATCACGGACGGGTCGTCCTTGCCCGGGTAGTTGATCGTCATCGGGTTCCGGAGCGGCGTCTCGGGGTCGAGGAGGTACTCGGAGCGCGAGGCGAACGCGATCCACTCGGTCGTCGGCGCGACAGAGCGCATGAGTTGGCCCATCGTCGACCACGTCTCCTGGACCTGCGACGACGCGCGGGCGCTGCAAGGCGGAGGGACGATCGCGTCAGCGAGCGTTCTGGGCGGGCGGAAGAAGGGACGCGGGACTCACTTCCACTCGTCAAAGGTCTGCCACGCCATCTGGATCGCGCGGACGACGCCCTCCTCAAAGTGCTCCGAGTTCTGCTGCATAATGATGATGCTCTTCTGGAGCGCGTTCTCCTCATGGACCTGCTTCTGCAACTGGCGCGCAACCAGCGAATTGGTGTACCACGGGTCCTCCTTGGCCTGGACGCCCATGGGCGTGTTCTTGAGCATCGTGATACTCCTCGCGAGGTCGGTAATCATCTTGGTCGAGATCTCGCGCTCCTTGGCGACCGAGGCAGCAAGTTTGCCCGTGTCTTGTTGGATGTTCTTGATGTGCGCCTTGACTTCGGTCAGGAGTTTCTGGAGGTGCTGCACGATCGAGCCTTCGACCGTCTTGGCGAGGCTGGCGTGGTTGTCGGCGATCAGGCGGGTGCGCTCGCGCTGCGGGGAAGAGCGCCTGTCAGCTCGTTGGTCGAGAATTGTCATGGGCGAGATGCGCCGACTCACGACGCCGTAGAAGATGTCCTGGACGCCTCCCTCGCCGAGGAACTGGTTGCCCTCGCGCTGCGCCCGACGTCCTCGTTAGCTCGCCCGAATCTCGCCGTAGAAGTACCTCTCAACTTACGAAAGGAACTTGAATGACGCCTCCCAGCCTCGCCAGCTCCTTTGCCGTGTTAGCCTGCCCCAATCCGCGCAGAAATCGTCAGACCCCGCTCGATCGGCTTCCAGAGGAGAACCCGCGAACGCACCTCGATGTCTGCGATGCCCTCAAAGTAGGTGATGAGGTTCTTGACGAGGCGCTTCCATGCCGAGAAGCGCTCGATGAGGATGTCCGAGGGGCGCAGCTCGAAGGGGCCTGGTGTAACGGGGTCGAGGAGAGTCAGTACCCGGGAGATGTTGGCTCGCTGTGCGAGAGATTCTTCGTGCTTCTCCACCCCTTGACCGCCGAGCGCATCCCTCGCTGTGCAGGCAGAGCGAGATCGCCGTGCCCCCCTCTTCGCCCCGCCTCCTCGCTCATCGCCCTCGCCCTCCTAAGCGCTCAACGAGCACACGCGGGACTGACCGGTGTTCTTCTTGATGAGCTGCGACTGCCTGCTCGTGACTGAGCTGCGCCTCGACACGCCCGTGTGGCCTGTCGCGACGGAGCGAGGGCGGTTGTTGGACTGCTGGTAGTCCATCGGGGTGTGCGAGGGAGAGGAGAGGGCGGGAAGTGGAGGTGGGTGGTGTGCGGGAGTTCAGTGGGAGAGTGAGCCCTGCCAGTCGTGTGCACTTCAAGCGAGAGTAGCGAGAGCGGAAGATGGAGACGACGAGAGACCCTCGTCATCGCCTCGTCGACGAAGGGGTGCGCTCAAATTAATTCGAGAGGGCGCAGGTTGACTGACTGTTGCTACCAGTACACTACTATTCCTCTGCTAGCTACCACACTCGTCCAGTCGGTGTGTTTGCTCGCCTTTTTCGCAATGTTCTGCGCTGCTCGATCGGGTCGATTAGCTTGTTGTTCTCGCACAGCTCGCTGCTTGTCCCCTGCTCCTGCTCACTGCTCACTGCTGGCTGAGACTCGCTCAGAGTCGCCGAGAGCGCCATGACCGGCCCCGCCTCGCCGGCACACGACTCGACCTCGACCCAGCCGCTCCTCCAGCAGCAGGCCAGCACCTCGACCTGCGCCGCCGTCGTGCTCGACTCGTTCGCACGGGCAGCAGACAGCGACTCGTTCGGGCCATGGGAGTACTCGGCGATCAGGGACGCCACGACCAAGCGCGAGGGAGAGGACAGTGACGGGTTGGAGAGACTCGCAGAGGAGATGGGCATGTTGCTCACGCCCGAGACGGAGAAGAGCGGGTGCGACTGGACGACTGCACGGGAAGACTCGGGCGAGGAATGCTGCTGCTGCTTGAGCGGGGAGACCGAGGCAAAGACTGTCCGACTCGTGCCCGGCTATGAGGAGGACGGCAACGTCGGGCGAACGGTCGCAGACTTGCATGTGAGTGGTCGGGCTCATTGACGTGAGCTTGAAGTGACTTACGAGACCTTCGCCGCAGTTTGACGTCCTCCGCCGCGCGAAAGTGATCCCCGAGACGGCCACCCCTTCCTCCTTCGCCAACACCCTCCAACGTGCGTTCCCCCGGCCGCTTCGCTCCTCCATACTCACACTAACGCTCTCCCATACAGTCTCCTCCACCCTGTCCACCCTCCTCTCACAACACCGCCTCACGCTCCTCCCCCACCACGACCAACTCTCGACCCGCCTCGCCTTCGAATACACCTACCAACTCTCGCGTCTGCGCTCCCTCTCCCCTTCGCGATCCTCCAAGCGCCCCCGAATCCCAGCGAGACCAGATTTCGACCACCACTATGCGGCGCTCGAGAGGCAGGGGGCGATCGTGAGGCCTTTTTTCGGGTGGACGTGCGGGAGGAGAGTGTTTGAGCGCCGTGACGAGCGGGGAGAGACGAGGAAGTATAGGGTCAACTCGGTGGATGAGGCGTTCGAGGTCAGTGCGCAGGATGACGAGGAGGAAGCGAAGGACGCTCCGCCGATCCCGTGGTATCGCTTGCCGTGCTCGATGAACCTCCTCCTGTACGCGATGGCGGATCGGATACAGCAGAATGCGCCTGCGCCCGAAGCGGTTCAAGAAGAGACCGAGGTACGTCCGCTTCCGCTCCTCGTTCTCCTCCTCGCTGACAGTGTGGATGGTGGGCAGGCCCTCGCATCCGGCACGCGCCTCCTCCTCTCCTTCTGGCACCTAACCCCCTCAACGCCCACCCCCTCGCTCTCGTCCCTCCTCACACGCACCAAAACCTGGCTCACAACACACCTCGACTCGTCCTCTTTCCCGCGCTTCATCGAGAGCGTTGATGCGACGATGAGGGCGGAGGAGTTCTTGACGCCTAGTCCGGGGTGGTGTGTCGAGGAGGGGGTGGGGTGGGAGAAGATTGAGAGGGCGAGGAGGAGAGCGGTAGGGGAGGGAGGGGTGGCGGGAAAGTTGGATAAGCTTGCGGTGCTCCAGCAGCAGGAGGACGACCCAGACTCGACCACCGCGACGCCCGGCTCACAAACTCCCTCGTACTCGACTCTCGCACCTCCGACCGCCGAGCAGAAAGAGCGTCAAGACTTTGTCCGAGCATGGATGGCGCAGCTCGCTTCCTAACATCTCCTCACCACTCTCACGGTCGCCTTTCGTTCGTTTCCTGTCGATAACTTCCCCTCGTTCGTCTGTTTTTTTCGTGAAGTCCTGGTTGTTGTAACCCCGTACTCGCTCGCTTGATCAGACTCAGACCCTAAACATACACGCATGGGTTTCCCGTATACACACACGCACACGCATATCCTGTCATTCGATACACAGAAGTCCGCCAGCCTCATCCTCTGCCTCTCTCGCGAGATTGGGCAGAGTCTCGCGAGGAACCTCTACATTGCGAGCGCTGAGAAGGAGGAAGCTAAGAGGAACGAGAGGAGAACGTAAGTCTATACAAGCCCGACGTCGCGCTACCGCTTCTTCCCCGTCACGCCCGGAATCGCAGGCTGCACCGCCGTCGCCCCATTCGGAGGAGGGGGACAACACGAGTTGTCCGCGCAGTTTGGCGCGACGCAGACGATCGGGCACCCGTCTTGCTCGAGCCCGATTTCGGCTGCGGCGGTGGCGGAGATGTGTGAGGGATCGGACGGGGCGGTCGAGGAGTCGCCTGATGGGGAGGCGACGATTTCGGGTTGGATGGTCCTGCGGAGGAAGTCGGTTAGCCGCGCGGACGGAGGGCAAGGGAGGGAGAGAGGAGCAACACACGAAGAGTGGATCCCGAAGCGGTGGAAGCGACGCTTGATTTCGCGACTGACGTTGACGAGGTCCGGCCCGCGGACCATGATGTGAACTGAGGCGACAATCTTCGACTCGGAGAGCGACCAGACGTGCAAGTCTGCGCGAGCGAGGTGGTCAGTACGAGCTGGAGTTCCGAAGAGCGCGACTTCGCTCACCGTGTACGTTGAGCACGCCAGGGCACTCGGCGATGCTTGATCGTAGTCGCTCGAGCGGGACGGAGGAAGGGACACCTTGAAGCAAGATGAACGAGGCGGATTTGACTGCGCGTGAAAGATGTCAGGTCTGCGTCCTGAGTCTTCCGTAGTGAGAGCGAGCTCACCAAGAGGAAGAGCGCTGGAGAAGACTGCAAGTGCGGGGTGAAGATAGTCAGCGGGAGTGAGGCCGAGCGAGGCCAACGCCGGAACGCACTGATGACGGTGATGACGAGCGAGACGGCCGGGTCGAAGTAGGATCGCCACCAGTAGTCTGTGAGCCAGATGAAGAGACCGGCAGCGATGACGCCGACGTTCCCGAGCTGTAAGACCGAGGCGAAGTCAATCTCGTTCCGCCACCCGGGACGCAGGAAACGCACCGCATCGCCAAGGACATGCAAGAAAACGCCCTTCATGTTCATGCTCCCCTCGCCATGTCCTCCGTGTCCTCCATGACCGCCGTGTCCGCCCTCGTCGTGCGCATGCTCGCCTCCAAGCTGACTCTCGATATCCCTCGCCGCCTGACTCGCCGACCCCGACACGCCCGTCGTCGCACCGTATCCCGCATCGTGCGCCTTCTTCAGCACGTTCGCCCGCAACTCGCCCGGGTGGACAAAGAGCTCTTCCTCGGCGCTAACGTCCGACAGACCGGCTTCTGAGGCGGTGTCGGCATCGTCGATGGCAGTCGAGGACGATGCGGAAAGGTGGGCGGGAGAAGCGGGGCGGGATGAAGGTGCGGAGGAATCGCCCCGACCGTTGCGCGAGAGAAGCGGGGTGCGGTCGCTCGGCTCGTCATGTGCGTGACCATTGGCATGGCTGTGACCGTTGTGAGACGCCTTCGTCGCCGACGCCGATCCACCGTGCGAGTGTCCGTGGCCTCCGCCGCCGTGCGAATGTCCACCGTGGTCGTGGAAGAGGAAGAGACCGATGATATTGGACAGCAAGCCGGCACTTCCGACGGCGACGATGAGCTTCGGTTGTGTGACCTCTGCGCAAAACGTGTGGTCAGCTCGGAGAGGGCTGCCGATGTCACAGGCGAGACGCACCGGTGTAGTTGACGAAGCGAGCGATCGCTTCCATGCCGATCGAGAAGCACAGCGCGAGGAGGAACACGCCGTTGATCAGGGCTGTTGAGAGCATCATGAGCCCTCCTTCTCCGCACGGAACGAAAGGAACGCACCGCCGAGGACTTCTGCCCGCTGCCACCCGTACGAGAGTTTCGAGGACGACGACTTGTTCTCGGCAAGCTTGAGCGCCTGAAGCGCGACGATCAGACTGCAGACATCGTTGAGCCTGTCAAAACGGTCGAAGGGCATGGTCAGCTGTGCCGTACGGACTGAGCAAGATTGCCGAGAGGGGCGCGCTCGCGCAGGAGAACTCACATGTGGAAGCTGTCTGCTACAAGCGCGAGACTCCCGACCACGATGCCGACGCCCAACTCGAGGAAAAGGAACGCCGTATCGACTGCATCAGCCCGAATGGTGCGCGAGTCGAGATGGGGCGATGAGGCAACGAACGTCAGTGATGAGGGAGCAGCGGCGGGGAGACGGGAGCGAGCGCACTCGCAAGCAGTAGCTTGAGCTTGAATGCCCTCCGTTGAGTAGCCATGGCGTGCTCTCGCCCTTTCTGAGCGTGGTGGGCGAGCGTAAGCGGCAAAGTCCCACTGAGGACCCTCTCGCTCGCGGGTTAGCTCTCGCCCTCGCGCTCCACTACAGCCTGGCACCCGATTGCTTGCTGTACAACTCTGCTACAGACCACCAGAAAGCACGGCCGAGTCGACTGCTGTCCCAGAGGCGCTCGATGACCGCCTGTTCCGCCTGAGCTCCGGTTCTTTTGTTCTCTCCACGAGAGACGACTCGCTCAATCCCGATCCAGGAACACGTCTGACTGGGCTCAGTCACCGCGCTGCCAGCTGCTGATTGATAGGCTGAACCGCCGGACCAACTGCCGACGCAATCTTGTCCTCCTCCTCACTTCCTCCTCCTCTCACGCTCGCACCGCTCTGCGTCTCGCGAGCTTCTTCGATCGACGCGCGGGCTCCTGCTCAATCAGTGTTCTCGATTCAGCGCGGCGCGCATCATCCGCCCGACCCCGCCATCCTCGCCCATCTGCCTCGCCTTCAGCAGGGTCGAGACGACGAACGCTCGGTGCAACGGGCAGCAGGAAGATCAGCGGGTGTGCGGCGGCTCACCCGTTCATTACCTGCGTGACGAAGCCACCGGTACTGAACCTCCGTCGAGGAGAACTTGGCGGGTCCCCCTTGCCTTTGTCCGGGATCCCCATCTTCGTCTGGCTGGGGCCGACTCGAAGGGATTTCTCGTTCGTCTCCCGACGGGCAGGCACTCGACGCTGGTCTGTTTTAATCGTCGGGCGCTGGCGTGAGCGCCTGCCGGGCCGTCCGCACCCCCTACCCTTCACACTCGTCGAGGGCGTTTGCCCGTCTTCCTGTCGCTTCCCGGTCGCAAAGATCCCGCGCCCGAGATCCAGGCCACATCAAGCAGACTGCTTCGCTTCTTCATCATCGTCAATGCAGAACGCTGGGGCCCGCTGCGACGGCGCTTTGGGCGCGAGCGGCTACAATGGTGAGTGCCGGCCATCGTTGCTCGTGTCTCTTCTGCCAACTGACACCGTCGCAATGTCGCGTTCACATGCAGAAGACGACCTACGACACGCGCAACCCTCGCCCTCGCCCACGACGTCCCGCAACTCGCCCCTCACTGCCGATGAAGCGCCAACGAACAACAGCCGCACCGACCGCCCACCTCGTCCGATGAACGCATGGCTTATCTTCCGGACGGCACAGCTCAGGCAGATGCAGGAGGACGATCCGGGCCTGCGCAAGTCGCAGGGCGAGCTGTCCAAGGTGCGTCCTCTTCCTCGAGGCGGTGCTGCGCGCGTCCGCGAACAACCGCCGGAGAATACGCACCCACTGAATTGGTCCCTTCGATGCGCAGATCATTTCCGAGATGTGGCGGGGCGCGGACCCAGAGGTGAGCCGGAGCATCCCTCGCCCCTCCGCTTGCCTGCGTCCGAGGCATCTCCGGCTCACTCTTCCGCTTTCACCGGCAGCTCAAGCAACATTACGAGGAGCTCGCCAAGCAGCGTAAGCTGGAGCATCAGCGAGCGTATCCTGGTAAGTCGGCGAGCACCCCCTCATCCTCTTTTGTTCCCCATCCTCCAGCTCCACAATCCTCCGCATCGAGCAGGCCGAGGCCAAACGATGCTGACTTTTCTTTCGCTCATCTATGGCGCACAGACTACCGCTACTCGCCGGCCAAGACGCAGGGCAAGGCTTCGAAGCCGAAACGCTCCGTCTCGTCCGGCAGCTCGCGCGCCACTCGCCCCTCTCTCCGTCTTTCGCCCTCTCAACTCCCTCGACGAACCACCTACGATGCCTCATACCACGGCTACGTCCAGCAGCAGACGGTGGGAGGAGCACTTGGCGCGTACGACGGAGCGGCAGCAGGCGATAGCTCATCAACGGCGTCATCCTCGCAAGGCTCGCCTGCCTACGCCTCATTGCCGACGCCTTCGACAGCAGGATGGACGCACTACGGCGACTGGTCGCTTCCCGCTTCGGCCATGGCGACCTACGAAGGTCAGGACAACGCGGCCCACCCGCACTTCCGCCAGTTGCACGAGCCAGTGGCCACGTCGCCGTCGACAGTCCATCCTGCCGTCCTTCAGCCGCACTTGATGCCGGCTTCGGCGCCTGCAACGGTCACGCACTTCTCGTCCGCGCTCGGCTTGACCATGAGCCCCCATCCGTCGGTCATGGTACGTCCGACTATATCCTCACTATGTCTTCGATGCTGACAGATCTTCTCTCGCTCAGGCATCGTATCACACTTCTCAGCCCCAAGTAGCACATCGTTCGGTCGCTCCGCCTCAACAGGCGCCTGCGACTAATCCGACGCTCTCGTCCGCCTACGCTCCTCCCGCTCATTACCTCTCCCCGCCTTCATCTGCCGGCCTCTCCTCATCTTATAGCGAGCCTTACGAACATCCAAGCGCCCTTCGACATGCAGCAACCCATCCTCGACCGCCAACGGCCAATCTGCAGCACACCACCAACGCAGTCTACGTCAATCAGCCGGCGACATCCTCGACGTGGGCGCCGCATCTGTATGAGAGACCGTCTCCTCCGCTCGTAGCGCCTGAGCCGGACGTGCAGGATGCCCAGCACGTGTATCAGGTCACGTCTCCCGACGCCGGAGGACCGAGTAACGCCACACTCTACCGTTCTCCCGGTCGCACCGCCTACCCCTCTGCCGCCACAACCCTACAGTACCAGTCTCTACCGCCACCATCGCATCGCTCGCTGCAAAAATCGCAGGCGCATCAGGCTCACGCCAACTCGTACACCTCAGCTTACCCGGCGCAGGAGTACGAGCACATCTCGCACGAAGCCTCGTCCGCATTCTCTAGCACTCATCAGCTCGACTACAGCCACCACCAGCAGTACTCGCAAGATCCCCGGCAGTCTTTCTCGTATGCATCGCATCCGCATGCCTCGCATGACTCGCACATTTATCCTCAGCCGCCTCCATCTGCTTGAGCCCCTCGCAGCGCCATGTTCCGCCCCTCACATCTCCGTCGCAACCGTTCTTGTCCTCCTCCCTCTCATTATTTATTCCGAGCTGTCGTTTCCTTACCTAGAGATCCGTCGCTGTTTACACCGCTGCGCAATATACGCTGTTGTAGAGAACCAGCACCCGAGCGCGCAAGGGAGCGAAGAAGGAGCGGGGCGGGAAAGCGCGAGCGAGTCGACCTTCTCCTCCTACTCGATGAGCGAGGAACGACGTCCATACGAGTTTGGCGAGAACGGAACGTCTAGTTTCATCGCGTTTTGTACGGAGGAGAAGAACGGGAGCGCTTTTACAGGAGCTGCTGCAGGAGTAAGTGCGAGTGGTGGGTAGGTGGTATGCGAGATAGGGCAACGACGAGACGAGAGCAGGCGGATCGGGCTGAGCGTGCGGCGTGCTTGACACGCTTAGTCGAGCTCGTCGACCTTCATGTCGTCCTCCTTGGGCTTGTCGCCCTCAACGGGGACGTCCTTGGCGTCCTTCATGTCGACCTCGGGAGTCTCCTCGGCCTTGGGAGCCTCCTCCGTCTTGGCCTTAGGCTTCGGAATCGTGACGATCGGCTGGAGTTCGTTGAAGATGGCTTCGCGGCGGGCCAACATCTCGGCGGAAGTGATCGAAAGCTTCTCGTACCTGTCGAGTTCAGAGGGTGTTCGTCAGTATTGGCTCGATTCGGTGCCTTCTCCGCTTCATTGCCCTGGCTGAGACGGCGTAAAAGAGACTGCGAGGACTCACGGCATCTTCTCGGCCTGCGACGCGAGCTTGTTCGAGACCCAAGCCTGGGTGTTGGCGACGGTCTCGACGACCTTTTGCAGCTTGTCCTCGGGCAAGTGCGAGAGGTCTCCAGAGTCGACCTTGGCCTGGTACTCGTTGAGGAGCTCGCGGAGCTGGGCGGCGGCGCGGGGGCGGTCGTCCTGCTCGCGGTAGCGGAGCGCGACCGGGTCGGCGATGGCCTTGAGGCCGTCGAGGCGCTCGACGTACGCGCTCTTGGTCGCGTCCTCGCCCTCCTCCGAGTAGAGCCAGTCCTCGGCCTGCGACGCGAGCTGGCGGAGCTTCTCCTTGTCCTCCTCGGACGAGTACTTCTTCCAGCCGCCCTCGAGGCGGTCGCGCACCTCGTAGACGAACTCCTCGAGCGCGTTCTTGCGGTCCTCGGTCTCGATGACGAGCTTGTCGGACGCGTGCATCTGGCCCTCCTTCTCGCGGAACTCGTTGACGATCGACGTGTCGAGGCGGAGGCCGGCGGCGACGGTCGGGAGCGCGGTCTTGGTCGTCTTGCGGACCTTCTTCGGAGGTTCGGCGGGCGCAGCATCGGCACCCTCGGCAGGAGCGGCGGCGGCACCGTCAGTCTCCATGGGCGCGGGGGTAGCCTCGTCCTCCTCGGGGCCCTGCTCGATGAGCGTAGCACCCTCGAAAGAGAGGCAGCCCGAGAGGTTGAGGCGGGCCTTGACCTTCACCGTGTTCTTGCCGCCCTCGACAGCCGGCTTGACGCCCTTGACGGTGTACTTGCCGATGAAGGGGTTGATGCCGCCGGGGAGGAGCTCGGGGTTGGCGTAGCGGGCCTCGAGCTCGAACGGCTCGGTGCGGGCGAACGAGAGGATCTTCGTCGAAGGGATGGCGTTTCCGACGTCGAATGCGACAATCTCGGTGCCCTCATCGGCGGGCGCGTCAGCCGACGCCTCCCAGACAAACTTGATCGGGAAGAGCTGGGCGTCGGTGGTGGTGAACTCGCGGACCTTGAAGACGGGCGAGACCTGGGCGCAGGCGAGGGTGGCTCCGCGCGCGATGGCCTCGTCCTGGTTCGTGGTGAACGAGAGGGGACGACCGAAGTAGTCCTGGATGGCCTGCTTGAGCGAGGGGACACGGGTCGAGCCACCGACGAGCTCGACAGTCTCGATGTCCTCCTTGGTCAAGCCCGAGGCGGCGAGGGCCTCCTCGAGAGGCTTGGTCGCCTTCTCGAGAAGGGGCTTGATGAGCTCCTCGAACTGCTCGCGCTCCATCGTCGACGACGCGTCGATGTCGTTCATGATCGACTCGACCGAGAGGGGTGCGACAGGGTTGGCCGAGAGGATCTTCTTCAGCTTCTCGACCGCAGCCGAGAGACGGAAAGTGGCTTTCTTGTTCGAGAGGACGTCGATCTTGTACTTGGTCTCAAACTCCTTCGCAAAGTGGCGGACGAGGGCGAGGTCGAAGTCGCGGCCACCGAAGTGACGGTCGAAGGCAGTCGAGCGGACAACGAGCTGACCCTTGTTGAACGAGACGATGGAGACGGAGTAGTCCGAGTGGCCGATGTCGACGAAAGCAACGTTCCTCGAGGGCTCCTCGGTGGTGGGGAGGTCGGTCTTGGTGATACCGTAGCCGAGAGCGGTCGCGGTGGTGTCGTTGATGAGGCGGAGGCAGTTGAGGCCGGCAATCTCGGCGGCGTCGAGGACGGCGCGGCGCTGCGCCTCGGTGTACCAGACGGGGACGGCGATGGTGACGTCGTTGACGGCCGACTTGAGCTCAGCGGCGGCGGTGTCGCGGAGCTTGGCGAGGAACATGGCGTAGAGCTGAGTCGCGGAGAAGGTCGCCTGCTCGCCGAGGTAGTTGACCTGTTCAAAGCAAAAAGTCAGCAGGCAGCTCGCACAAGTGCTCGACTCGCAACTTACGTTTACACCGACGGTGTTGCCGACCTTGACAATCTCGGCGTTCATGAACTGCTTCTCAACCTCGACATCCGGGTCGCTGCGCGGAACAGAGGCCGTCAGTCGACGCCTCGCTTTCACATCCGACGACGCGCCACTCACTCGATTGTCCGGCCGATGAGGCGCTTGAGCGAGCCGACGGTGTTGCGGAAGTTGGATGTCTCCTGCGTCTTGGCCGCCTCACCGATCATGCGCGACCTCGGGCCGAACGCGACAAGGGAGCTGTTTCCCGCAAACTCGTCAGTACTCGTCTCGTGTTCGGGTGAGAGGGTAGACGTACGGAGTCGCGCGGTTCGAGGTCTCGTTGACGAGGATGTCGATACCACGGTTGCGGGCGGCACCAATCTGCAGAGTCCCAAGGTCAGCATGCGCAGCTCCTGAGCAGTCCAAGACCCCTTCTGAGCTACTCCAGCTCCAAGCCACCGCTACAACCCGCGCAAACAGCGAGCATCGCCTCGTGACGGAAGCTCATCTCACCTTGGAGCCGTACTGGCCGATGTCTGCGCGCGCGGTGAAGTCAGCCTCGCGAGTCCCGTCTCCACGAAAAGGACGGGATCCATCACGCACCGAATCCAATAACGCTCGTCATTGTTCAAGCTGGTCGAGAAAAGCGAGGGGAGAGGAGAGAGCTTGGGTGATGAGGGTGGGTGCTCGAGGTGCCGTGCAAGCTGGGTGTGTGCTGGCTGGCTGAGTGCGAGTGTTCTATAGAGTCTGTTCTAGCGCTGAGCGAGTGCAAAGCGACAGCAAGAGAGCGACAAGCGAACGAGGTCGGCTCGCCTTGTGCTCTCGAAGATTCGAAGTCCCAAGTTCAGTTGACAATATCCCTCGCAGGCGTGGCTAGACGGGGTGTAGTGTAAAACGTTGCATCGGGACAGAGGGGCACTGACTACTGCGAAGCGAGGAGAGCAAGCGGGAGAGGGGAGCAAACGACTGAGGAGAAGGGGGTATCGTAACAACTGGGAGCGACTGTCCGTCCGTCCGCCTACAAGCAGCACGTACAGAAATCAAGCCGAGAGGGGATATCGTCAAGAAGGTGTCGAAAGGAGGGCGCCGGGAGCGTGGGAGAAAGGCGAAGGGAGCTGTTCGTCGGTCGGATCATGCCGCGTCGGCGTCGTCGCGCTGCTGCTGCTCCTGACCGTTTCGCTGCGGCGGCTCGTCCTTCGCGTACTGTTGCTGCGCTGACTCGTCGCCCTGGTCGCCGTTTGTCGCGCTCGAGTATCCCGAGGCCTGTGGCTGCTGCGCGTCCTGCTGAACGGCGCCGTACTGCCCGCCTTCCGAGTAGCTCCTCAGGTGTGGCTGCATACCGTCGACCTGATGCTGCTGCTGGAAGTGCGACGCCGAGACGCCGTAGTCCTCCGCGCTCGGGAAGAGGCCAGACGCCGCAGACGCAGCCGACGAATCAGGCTGGTACGCCGAGTAACCCGCCGATGCAGCAGGCGAGCCGTTCGCAACGGGCAGCGGAGTCGGGTAGGCGGTCTGGGGCGTGGGGTACGACGCAAAGACCTGGCTCGAAGATGCCGAGCTCGTCTGCGGCTGAGGCGGGGTATGCGTTGCGCCAGAAGGGCCAGCCTCGACGTACTGCTGCTGCTGCGCGTAGGACGACTGCTGCAAATGTGGCGACGTATCGTGCGAGAGGTTCGGCGATGTAGTCGAGCTCGAGGGACCGGCGACCGTGTTGAGGCGAGGCGAGGCGTGCTCGTCGTTCGGCGAAGCGCCGTCGACTTGAGGTGACTCGCCGGCTGCGGAACCTTCGACTGGACGGGCGGGAGCGAGGCCGCCAACGGGTGTGCCGTCCGGGTTGAGAGGGTAATTGGCGGACTGCGTGAGGACATCTGTCAGCGACAGCGCTCGGAAGAGGGGAGAGAGTGGAGCGAGACGCACGTATTTCGACATGATCTTCTTGAGCGCCTGCGCAAGGATCTTCCACGGGAACACCTTGACGTCCTTCTCGATGTTGCGCGGCTTGGGATTCGGAAAGCCCATGATGAGCTTGAAGAACGGTTCCGCATCAGGCTTGGCCTTCGAGACGGTCTGCGGCTTGAAGCCCTCGAGGTTTCGCCGAATGCGATTCTTCTCCTCGACGGTGAAGCGCGACCCGACGAGCGCCTCGAGGAGGTAGATCGTGTCGACGGAGGTGACGAAGCACTCGTTAAAGTCGTCTCGGAAGATGCACGAGATGACGATCGAGTTCTGGACGTATTCGGTCTGCGGAATCGGACGGAAGGTGACGTTGATGACCTGGCCGTCCTGCTGAGGCCAGAACTGGACGAGTCGTCGTCGCGCCGTCCACTCCTCGTTCGTCCATCCCATCGCCATCGTGTTGAGGTCACCCTGCAGCTTGAGAACGACCTTGTGCGAGTAGGTCGCGCCGTAGCCGTTCTTCGCCGCGTGGATCTGCGACGTCCGGATGAGTTCGGGTTGTGGCGGGTACTGGCCCGAGTTCAGGGGTCGAAGCGGAGGAGGTGGAGGTGGAGGGAGAGCGGTGGAAGTCGAGGCGGCGGGAGGAGCGGGAGCGGGGAGAGGGACGGCGAGAGCGGCGGCGGAAGCGTCGTAGGCGTCGAGGCCGGGCATTTGCGCGTGTTGAGGAATGTTGGGCGTGTGCGCGGCAGACGCGTGATGCCATTCGCCCTGCCCGCGCGCAGGACTGCCATGCACTGACCCTGCCGGACTGCGCAACCCAGGCGCCTCGCGACCGCTGCTCAAGTCCTCCCCGCTCCGCTTCAGCTGACTGACCCTCGGCGTCGTCGGCGCGCGCTGCCCATACGCCGAAATCGCCTGCTGCGGGTCCCACTCGCCCACGATGCACGACTCGACGACCGCGCCGGTGTCGACGTCGATGCTCTGCACGAGGACCATCACCCGCTCTCCTGGCGGACCCATCGCATGCCGCGAGGGCACGAAAGTCGTCAGGACGACAAAGGCGTCCTCCTCGTTCGGTCCCGCCGACATGCTCTGCCCGACTCCGTTCCCGTCGATCGCCTGCGCGCGAGTGAACTTGGTCGGCGCTTGGGCCTGACCGAAGATGACAGCAAAGCGACGGTTGACGCCTGGATGGGGCGTGCCAGTGCTGTCGAGTTGAGGTGAACCCGCGCCGAACGAGGCGGGCATGTTGGAGTAGGGAGAGGGGCGGGCGGACTGGATGGCGGCCGAGTCGAGGACGATGGTGACCTGCGTCCCTTCATCGCCGCGCTGAGGCGTCCACTGAACG